CGTACCTCTCTCTCTCTCTCTCTCTCTCTCTCTCTCTCTCGCTTTCGTCCTCTTCTTTCGAGTCGAGGAAGAGTTTCTTTATCGACATTCCCGCGCCGTTATTATCGAGATGAGAAACGGAAGAAATTTCTAAACGTCTCCTCTTGAATCGCATGCGTCCATATTTGGGCGAACGAGTCGACTGGCGTGTAAACGCGATTCTCCAGTGTTTTCATGTTCGAAGAAGACCTTCGTATTTGTCCTGAACGAAAATAAGCGAGACGAACGTATTCGTAAATATCGAATTTCACTCGAGGAATGGAATAGAAGTTTCTAGGCGGTAACTGCTAAGCAGTAACCGTTATTGAAGTAAGGAGTTGGGTGGAAAAAGCGTTGCCTTCTACTTCGGATAGGAATAATTGAACATCTTGTTCCGCGCAATTGTAAGAATCTAGCATCTCGAGTGTACAGCTTGAATGTGTGTTTTGCAATGTTTGTCGAGGGGGGGGGGGGGAAGGAAATGTGAAAATTTTTCTTCTCGAGACAACGAAATCTCTCTCGATCTCTCCGCGAGGAAATTCTCGCCTATCCGGAGAGGAATAGAACCAGGGAGAGGAATCAGTAGTTGATCCTTTTCTTTATTTAAGAGCGCTTCACCGAGTTCAAGATGCTAAGCCGAAGATCGAAATTCCTCTTTTCCTTTCAATTGAACCAATGAAATAAATAGAAAGATACCTTCCTTCCTTCCTTCCTTCCACGGAAAATAACGATGAACATTATTTCTTTTTCTTCAAAAACTCTCTCTCCCCGTTATTAATTTCGTGCGCTCCTCGCCCGTTAATTTTCCCAATCGATAAAGCAATTTCTCTTCCCTCCCACGTGACTGGCATCACGTCAAAAGCGGATACATACTTTATAAACGGCTGACACGATTATTCACCCTCGAAACGATCGCTTAATATTAACAATTTCTTCGCTGCACGATATTATTCCTTTATCCATCTCAAACCTTGCCCGCCCGTCACAACGAACAAATCCTTTCGAGTATTCCTGTGATCCCTTTTATAAAAAAAAACTTCCAAACTTGCTTCATCTTTCGAGAATCAATCCCCTCGAAGAGAGCGGAATGCGGTCGAGAGCGACAAACTTTTGGGTAAGGAAACTCGGAGGGTAACGAGGCGGGCTCGTGAAACAATCGAAGGAAACCGCGGCGTTGCCAATCCTTCCATTCTGAAAGAGAGGTGTTGCCGATCGAGCATTTTTCCATTCGACTCGATCCGCGCGAACGTGGTCCAAGTTTTCGGATATTATTAAAGTTGGAGGCGGTATAGGAGCGTAATGGGGAACTTTTGGCCCGCGGCTACATCGAGATTTCTCCCGCGGAATTATTCGGCGCGACAACCGAATTGATTAGATCTAAACTTCGCGCGCGCCATATTGCGGCCGACGAATTATCGCGGCGGTTACACGGCGAGGCGAAACTTTCTCGGGACGGATTCTCGAATTACAAGAAATCCTTTAAATTGCTAAAAACTTCCTCCCCTCCTGTGTATCTCGGCCCCTTTTTCTCGCTGCTAAAACTTTTCCTTCTCCCAATTTTTCCCAAATTTGTCCGATCGATCCTCTTTCACGATTTACGCGCGATATGGTATTCGCCAAATTAACACTAAACCTACCGCGGCGCGGTCAAATGACCGTTTTTCAAATTTCCTTCAGAATTTCTTGTATACAAAGTTATCGCCATATGACTTATTGACTTTTTCTTACAATGTAGATACAACAACCCATTTTTCGATATTCACGACTTTCTGTATCGTTTACTTCACGAATCCAATTGGCTAAAATCTCTTTCTATATCGAGATACGAATGTTTCTTTGCATTTTTGACCGCTCACGGTAGGAATAGGTATACATGAAATGTCGGTAGGTTCAGTGTTAAGAAAGGATCGCGCACGTCTAATGGAACTTGGTACTTTTCTCTCCGACCGAGCGGCAAGTTTTTTCCATTTCTTTTTCTTTCCTTTTTCGCCAACTTCGTTGGATCTTCTTTTCTTTCTTTTTTTCTCTTCATTATTGCGAATTTGTCGAGGGTGTATCCAAGCTTCCCGCGATTTTTCGGAGAGAACATCTTATCGGAATAATGGAAAACGCGGGGAGAAGGAAGAATATTTGGAACGATGATTGGAAGAATAAAAATCGTGTGGCTGCGATCATAACCCGGGGGGGGGAGGGCTAATTAAGATAGAGTCCGGATTAATACGAATAATCTCTCGAATATCGTTAAACGAAATGGAACGCGCCCATACATTTGCGATTTCACGAAGAGAAGGAAAAATTGATGTTTCCGCCAATTATATTCCACTCCACCGCGCTATAATCAGCTGCCTAATGCCAAACTCGAATTCGAATGGATGGAACAAGAGAGGGATGATTCTTGATCAACGTTCTAAATTCGTCGAATATTACGCACCGAATTAACACGGGGCTCGACGAGCTTTTCAACGCTTCGAATTAACGCAATTTTATTTCAGCCGTCGACTTGTTATTAATCGTTATTTACACGAGCGGAATGTGTCGTTATCGCGGATTACCACGTCTCGTCCGTTTTCACAAATCAAAGAATGTTTATCGTGATTACGTTTCGCTCGGGATAATTATTCACGCGTAAAAGTACGAGTTACTTTCGGTATGCAACGGGTATACGTAATTTATGTTATTATTGCTCCCCCGGGGGATCATTATCCCGTTTAATAACTAGAAATATGAGTATAATGTACGCATATAACGATCTCGTTTCGAAACGTTTCGCTTTATCTTTCGGCCGTTATTACTTTTTATACTGTATTTTTAAATTGAAATATTCGGAACCCTCGAATCGTATAATAAGCGGACGATGGAAGCCGCTGGAAAAGAATAGTTTAAAATCTGTAATTAGCGAAGAAAATAATTAAGAAAGAAAATTAATTTAACTTTTATGAAATCTCGTTGTTACGGTTCTTGGCAAAGTAGAAGAGTGTTTTCGGCCTGGATATGTTGCCTGGATACGTCTTACTTGTGTGAATTAGGCACAGGGCATCGATCGATCTCATCGGTTCATGGAAAACTGGCCTGGATATTAGATCGATGTCCACTCGCGACTTCATAGACTTTGATCCTTTCTTCGAATATTACTGCGTTCTAACCGGTTCGATATGTGAGTTTAACGATTCGAATAAAAGGAAGAGAAGATTCTGAGAAATTAATTTCCGACGAAGTTTTAGAAAACTCGTAATAAATAAATTTAACAACGCGCCTGATTGTTATTGCCGTTTAATAATTAATTTGTGACAATTATTCCATATCATTTAGTAATATTTCAACAAATTGCAATTTAATCGAATCGACGTGTCCGCCGTTCGTATTATAAATATCGATACGCGTGCACACACGGGGTGTCTGTTTTAAATCGATTACGAGGAAAAACAGAACGGAAAATATTATACGAAAATTTAACGAAAATCGAAACGATTTCATCCATCGATTCTATTAAAAATCGCGAACAACGAAGGAGCAAAGTGCGAGAACGTTTAAAAAAACGTTTAAAAAAAAAGTTGTAACAGAAAAGTATTAAGCAAAAAAAAAAAGTTTGTTACCTGGATTCACGGCGTGGCAGTGGTCGAGGAGCGGCAGCCAACAGAGCAGTAGCACCGCTCTCTGCATCTGAAAGCAAGCAATCGAAAACATTCTTCATTTTTAATTCCTATTCAACATTCCGATATATAATTACGCGATTGATCGAAACGGGCGATAAAAGCGGCAACAACGAATCGTTAATCGGAAGGAGAAAAACCGCATTCGAATCAATGAACGGAACGAGGACGGTTCGAAGAATGGAGAGAGAGAGAGAGTAGGACTCGTTTATAAGGGAAACGATGCTCGACGCGTCGATAAAGAAGGGAATCGATCGACCGATCGATCGGGGAGCGTAACAATTTCGGATTATGGTATCCACGTGTAATGGCCGAGAATTGTGCATTTTCCATCCCGGGATCGCCTTCGAAATATCGCACGGATGGATACCGGCTTTTCCAGCCCCGGTGTTGTTGGCTTTAAGTGGATTTAGCCGCGCGAGATCGCCTCCACATTCGGAACCAATCGATGGTGCAATTTTAATGAAGCCCCCGTCATTTCCTTAATTCATATTTACGGCCCCGCTATTCGCCGGGATTAAACGCGCGCTCCTGTTTCCTACTTCTTTTCAAACTTGTTCCTCTGTTTTTCTTTCTTTCTTTTCTTTCTTTTTCTCTCTCTCTTTCTCTCTCTCTTTAAGATACTCCACACGCGTCACGTCGTTCAACCTCGCGTTCGTTAGAACCGTGGAACCGTGAATAACGGCCACCGTCGTTCAATGTCGTCGTTCAACCTGGACAACCGTGATTAAAGCCTCTTCCTCCTTGAAAAGGAAAAAAGTTCGATAAATATCGATGTCGTTTAATGAAGCGGATAATAAACGATGTCGCGGCCAATTCGGGTGAAAATAAAAAGACTGCAACGGATCGATATACGTCCATACGAATCCCCGTTAACAAGAAATATAGAATATCTCGCGTGCATGCAACCGTACGACGCGTGGCGTAAGAACGTGCATCGAATTTATTTACTTATTTCTTTTTTTTTTTTTTTACTTCGACAGTGGTGAAAATTTTGCGTTCCTCCTCTCGTCGGAGGGAGACTTAAAATTCCACGCGCACGCCGCTTCGAATCAATTTGACAAATCGGTCGTTTCGTTCGTTCCGCCAAGGATTCCACCTCCCCACCATGTTTAACAACTGAAAGTCTGGCCCTGGTCGTGGAAAATTCACTGTACGCCGCCTCTCGCACGGCTGCCTTCGCGCATGCGGACGCCGGTCGTGCGTGTACGCGTACGAGGTTCATTTGCTTTCGCTGGGAGCAGAGAGGATACAGGAGAATTACTCGTCGAGAGCATCCGCTACCAAGGATTGAGCGATCGGGAATGGCACGCCGACCGAATACGAATTTATTTCGAGGGAAAAAACGTCGTTCGTTTCTCCACGATTTTAAAGTAGAATAAAATTAACGTTTCACTTTTAGATATATAAAAAAAAAAGAAAGAAAGAAATGTTGAAGATATTCTTTGATAAATATTTCGCTCTCTTTCAAATCGGTACACCGTTTGGGCAAACACTTAAGATAGCGATATTTTTATCTTCTTTGAGGATTGAATCGGATGGAAGGAGTAGCCCGGGAAATACGCAAATATTTGCCCCGACGCCAACATTTTTTTCTTTACAGTTTCACCTGGGGGAGGATAGATTGTAAATTTGATTTACGCATTCAAATTGATATTACTGTGTGTAACTGGGGTAAAGTTTATCGGGTACACAAACTTCATCGCTGTGGATGGTAGCACGTTTACGTTTGCGAGGGGGAGAAAAAATGCAAAGGGAGAACGCGCTCTCCAATTTTTCAAATTTTTTATCTTTATCCTTATTAACATGATCGAGAACGCGCATAGATGTATATATCAAGGGGGAATCGAGAAAAACTGACCAGAAGTTGGCCGGAAACTTTTCGAAAACTTTTTATCAGGGGCGCGTTTTTAACTTGAATTTATGCCAGATAATTCTTATCTTAAAAGTTGGATAAATCGCGTCTTTAGAAACATTTTGTCCTCCGAATTTTCGTGGGCTTTGGACAATATTTTTAAACCGATAGAATTTTTCGTTCCGCCAATTATTCGAGCAAAAATTGCGCGCGCTTCTTAGTTTACGATAACGCAACTCCTCGAACAATCGACGAGAGTAATAATCTGAAATGAAACACGGTTACGTTATTACCGTGTAAGCTGGGGAAAAAATGGGGATAAACGTTTGTTAAATACTGTTCCAACGGAAGATGAATCCACGATATTAACAAGTTGGAAAAACTATCTCCCCCACCAACGACAACCACTTCAACGTTGATCAAATACCCTTTTATATACGAATTGTATCCACTTGCGTTCCTTTTTATCCGCGTGCACGATCCCTTCGCATAATCCGTTCGTTAATTTCGTTTGTAAAAGGTACTTGGACGAACGGCGAACAAAACTCACTTTTTCCTCTCCTCATTCTCTCTTCTTTTTTTTTTTTTTTTCTTTTCCTTTCCACAAATGTACACAACGACGTGAATCGCCGCGGTAATATCCGTTACGACAACGATTCCGAATAAAAGCGTGCACTCCTCTGAATAAACTCGGCTGCCAAGGTTCAGCCGACTCTACACTGGTGGTGGATACACAGCATTCGACATTGGTCGAACGTTGTTAGTTTTGTTTTCCAAGCTACACGAAATAGGCAGGACGGCTCGCTTACCGAGAGGCGAATGTGTGTTGTTTCGTGTAACCGGGACGGTTTGCAAGTCAAAGCAAGGTCACAAGCGAATCGCAAGAAGCGGTGAATGTATTTAAAAAAATAACGGTCTGTTTCATATTTTGCAGAATTGAATCGAAATTTCAAGACCTTGATTTTTTACACTTCAAATAATCTTCAACGTTCCATCTTAAACGTTATCTGTCAACGGTTAAAGAAGTTCGGTTATGTTATGTATAGCTTGTTTTACTCATTGAAATATTTAAATGATCTCAGATTACTTTCACATGTTGGGGTTTTCCACACAGGATAGCACTGTCCACTGATTACACGCGGATACTGTGAAATGGCGCGACTCGGAGCACGTTTCGAAGCTACACGTGGGTGGAATCCGGCCTAGATTTTTCATGAACCCCTTTTCCTCCGCGAAATGGAATAAATTAACATCCGAAATCTCTGAACTCTTTGAGCGGCTGCCCCTGAGAACTCCAATAAAACTGGCGTATAACGATAAATAGAATGGCGAAAGGAGTGGCCGCGGCTTTACCCTCGCGCTTTAATAAGCGTATATCCGACGGGAAGTTTTCAATCGAGGAGAAATATTGGCGTTTTATTTTTTTACCATGGAAAATTGAAACTTTATAAAGGGAGAATACGAGTGGTTTCTTCCGCGTAATCATTTATAAACATATAACACGTATGATGAATAAGAAATCACGCGTTAAAAATAACAATTATTTTCTAATTAAACAACACGGTAATCGTAAACGTTACGTGTTGGCGAAAATCTCGTTCAAAATTACCTGTATAATCGAGCCTAGAATCAGCTCGATGTGAAAAGGCTCGTGTCGTGCGCGACCTACGAGTGTACCTAGTTCACTGTTGAAACGAAGTGGCAAAGTGGCAGGGGCAACAGGAGTCTCGCTAGGACCGCCTATCCCCACTTTAGACGCTTTGTTTACAATCCGCACGGTATACACAGTACTTGGAACAGCTATAATTTGAACGCTCGAAATCAACGCTAAAATTTATTTTCCTTTACAATATGTTTAGCTTATTCGTATACGTACAATTATTATACCAGGCTGAAAAGGAAAATGCGTGTGAAAACAGGCGTTTCCTCCTGCATTAACCAAACGAAAGACCAAACTCGTTTCCGAGCAGTTCGTGGTTATAGGAGAAGAAGATTGGTGGTATAAGAACGGCGAGAGAGAACTGCGTTGATACTTGCCCTCGACGCTGCCTCGAAATTGTATTAGCGTCGACTTGGGTCCATGCAAGAAGTAGGCCGTTCCAGTTGCGTTCTCTCTCGCGGAGTGGGAAACGCGGCAAAGGTCAAAAGTGCATGAATTGTTGCGAAGTGCCTCGGTCCTCCACTCGGTAAAGCGGTACAATGCGATCGGTGACCCCGTTTCGCGTTGTCGGCCTGAAAACCACCGGCGACTGCTGACATTGCTGAAAAGCGACACGATCAACTATATATATATATATTTCTTCGCCTTTATTTTTCTTCTCCCCTCCTTTCTCTCTCTCTTTCTTTTTACTCGCTTACTCTGTTTTCTTTCCCCCGCTTCTTTCTTTCTCCTTAGCGGAGCGAAACACCGGAGAGAATGCTGGAGACAAGTCGATGGTTCTTCCAATTTTTCGAACTCCTTGTTTCGAATACGCGCATGGAGGCGATGGAATAATAATAACGAAGCAGTGTGCGTGAATCGGTGGTAAATTTTCCTTCTTTTTTGAACAAAGATACGTGATACGGGTTTCGAGGATCGTTAATAAGAGAGAAAAAAGGAAGGGGAGAGTGGAAAATAAGATTTATACGTGAATGAAATTTATCACTGTTGAACGTGTCGCTTTATGCATTAGCGATGAGGTCGGACACGATTCTTTCGAGCGTTATTTACGATGTCCCTTCTTGTCCTTCCAAGTGAGATAGATTTCAACGTTTCCCCGTTTTTTCTTGGAATTTCGCATTACACCATTTCCACCGTATTCTATCGCGGGTAAAAAGCCAGTCGAGTCGACGGGAACAAAGAGCGACTCTTTCGTGAACGGCGATCAACAATGGCGCGCAGCTTTAAAAAGGAATGGTCAAAATGTTTCAAGAAATACGACACGTTTTCGCGTCAAATTCTTTTTCTCCGATCTAACTGAATCGAATTAAAAAATCGGATCGTTTCTCCGGATCCAACTCGATCCGATCGACAATCGAGAAATTGGTCACAAGCGGAAATTCACGACATCGCCTGTTCCATTATTTTTTTGTAATCGCGTCAAAAAATTTACGAAATGACTTATCACAGAAAAAAATTTTTATACGGTAAATAAAGGGACAGATTTATAGGGGAG